GAGGTTTAAGTCTACATAAGGCTAGGGACATGAATATCGTGTTACTTGATAAGACTGTGGGATTTGCATTGTCAAAACAAAAAGTTGTGGGTAGATGTAATGTCTACAAAGTACCTTAAGAGAAAATCCATTTTGAACATTTCGAAGGGAAAAAGATCCTTTACGTGGAGGTCAATATGTAAAGCGACTCAGGAATTGAAGGATGGTTTCGTTTACCACATTGGCAATAAGGCTAGCTCCTTTTGGTGTGTTGACTGGTCAGGTTTGGGACCTATTTGCACTATGGTGGATTACATGCATATTGTGGACTCAAATAAGAGGGTATTAGATGTGTTTGTTAATAACCAATGGGGTTTATCTCAATTATCCAATCTTATCCCAGACCATGTGGTAAATGAGTTACAAGGAAGGATATGCCATTTAAATAACAACATACTCGATGCTTGTGTTTGGGACAGTCCAAATGGTAGGTACACTGTTAAGAAGGGATATAACTGGCTCATTGCTGATAGAAATGCAATTCAGAATGCAAATGATATGTCTTGGTCTTGGTTATGGAAGGCAAAGATTCCAGAAAATGTAAAGTTTTTGTTGTGTTTAGCTTGTCACCACTCAGTTCCCAGTAGAGAGATTCTTCATCAGAGGTATGTTTAATTAGTTTTTTTCCTCGTTGCACTTAGGGATGAGAGAATTTTTTATACATTGTAAGGGATTAAAGCTTTTCACAGTCCTTCTAGGCCGCCTTTGGTTATATTTAGCCATAGTTCTTTGATGAAATGGATAAGAATTGGTATTGAAGGGAGCAATTCACATGTTTTTTGTGCAATAGTTTGGTGGGCTTGGAGATCCCGAAATGGACATATCTTTGCCAATGAAAACCCCTCTCTGTTTAAAACCAGATGTCTTATCCAACAAATGACGAAAACAATCTTTATTTGCTTTCATGCTTTAACAATAGGTATTTCTACTCCAACGGAGCATTGGGTTCGTTGGCACTCATTCCAAGATGAAACTATGCTATTGAATGTGGATGGTAGTTGTAGTGGCAACCTTGGTCAAGTTGGCTATGGTGGCATCATGCATAATGCAACTGGTGAATGGAAATTTAGATTCATAGGTTCCTTGGATATTTCAACCAACATGCATGTTGAACTGATGGCTATATTCTATGGTTTTTTTTTAGCTTGGGAGAGAGGATTTAGAACTGTCTGTTGCTACACAGGTTCACTACAATCAATTGTGCTCATCAACCGATAACTTCCTTCTTCTCATATTCATGTTGTAGTATGTGAGTCTATCAAGGGGCTTCTTCAAAGAGTGTGGATTGTTCATATTAACCACACTCTCCTCGAAAGGAATGTGTGTGTCGATATATTAGGTAAGATGGGGTCTACTCTCATTGATTTGATTCAAACATGCATTTCTACTCTGATAAGACAAACTTTTGACAAAACACAAGTCTTTAAATAAAAAATATATTGCTTATGCATTTCAAAAGCAATCTTTTGTCTATGAGAAATTTTTTTTAGATCTACTTTAATAACTTTTTTCTTTTAAAAAATGTGGTTATCATCATAAAAAAAGGGAGATTGTTAAGTCAAAAGATAATGTTAGACCCCTTAGTTATAAAGTTTTAATGATAACAAAAAACAATCATTTTGTTTGAAAATGTTTTTAAACCATACAATAAGACGAATGCTCCGTAAAAGATGAATGCACTAAGATGATCCGTTATCTTGACATAACTATCTAATAAATAAAATACTTCATCTGTAAGACAACACAAGGTGGTGAGGCAGCGACACAAGGAAACAATGTGAGGTAGAGACACGAGTGGCAATGCAAGGTAGAGTTTAAGTTATAATATCATAGTACCTATGCCCACTAAATTTTGCGGGTTTATACCTATTTCGTACCCATCCCCATATAAGTAAGTATTTGCCTGCTCCCGCTTGTAGGTATTTTTGCAAGTGTCTGTAGGTCTAAGTCTATTTTTCCATCCCTACTAAAAATGATATTCATTATTTATGTAAAAGACCCTACACTTAATTGTACCACGTCATGATAGTAAGACAAAACTACAATGTTAGTTTGCCCAGTTTTAACTTTGTATTATTACTTTGAGCCTAGAGAGACTTGACTGTAAAAGAATATTTTTTGTTAAAACCTAAAGAGGTTTTGTATCAAAAGAATACTTTGTTGTTAAAGCTTGGAGATGCTTTGTGTTAAAAGCATACCTAGATAGTTACTTGAAGAGACAAGTCAAATAATAATTAGGTTTGAGTTAGAAGTGACTTGGATAAAGAATACTTGTATTTTTGTATAAGATGGTAGAACTTGATACAGTTGGATCAAGAATTGGATATAGTCTCGATAATAAAGATGAACTAATATAAAAATCTCCTGTGTTCAGTTTCTTAACTTTTTGTCTGCACTTCTTCATAAATACTATTGCACTATTTATGAAAAGTGTGAGTTTTTTTTTATTGATACTATTCAATCTCTGTTTCTAGTGTCTTTCTTTTCTCCACAAACATAGATACCATGACAGTAGGGGGTTAATTCAATTAAAAATACTTCTTAGGTTAATTTGCCTTTTATGAGATTTTAGTAAAATATTTAATGAAATGATTAGATAGATAGGAACTCATGGAGTGAATCGTAATCTTAGAATATATTTTAATTAATTATCAAAGTCAAATTTTTTATCTTGCTATTAAGTTTTTCTTATATTATCGTTATCTTTTATAGAAAAAAGAAAGATACTAGAAGGGAATTGAGTAGTGTCAATCAAAAACTCTACTTTTTGAAACAACGAGTTAGTATCTTAAACCTTAAGAGTGTAGATAGAAAGTCAATAGTAATGAACACATAATATTTTTATATTGGTTCGTTTCAACTATTGAGACTATGTTCATTTTTTGATTAACTTGATCAAGTTCCACTATCTTTTAAAAAGATACAAGTATTCTTTCACAAACCACTTTTGGCTCAACCTAAGTATTCTTTGACTTTCCATTTCAAGCAACTACCCAAGTATTTTTGAACAATAAGGCCTCTTTAGGCTTTAACAACCAAGTATATTTTTAAAACAAAACCTTTCTAAGCTTCAACTACCAAGTATTCTTTACAACAAATCCTCTCTAGGCTCAACTATCAAGTATTCTTTACAACAACCTCTCTAGGCTTCAACTGCCAAGTATTCTTTACAATAAAGCTTTTACAAGCTTCAAATACTAAGTATTCTTTACAATAAGACCTTTTTAGGCTTCAACTACCAAGTATTCTTTATAACAAAGCCTATTCAAGCTTCAAGCAATAACACAAAGTTAAATATGAGAAATCACTTGTTGTTTGATCTTATTATCAAGACATGATACAACCAAATTAAGTACATAGCTTTTTATAGAAAGAATAAATATGAATTTTTACAATGATCATTTTATCTTCTTTCTAAGTCTTTAAGCTTTTTTATATAGGTGTTTCATGAAGATGATCATTGCAAATCCTTGAGCTTGTTTCATTGTCTTCGTCACCTTTATGGTACCAAGCGAAAATAATTGTTGCTTGTGTCAGTCAAAAATGATTTTTTTTACATTCCAATTATTTTGAGAGATTTGTTTGTCATTTTTTATGACACAAAACATGCCTTCATTCCTTTTTGAAGTGTGAGTACCAAAAAATATTTTTATTATATGATATATATTAAATGCATTTATCTTATAGACAAAATAGTTCGTCTGGGAGACTACACGTCATCATAACTAATCGTATATTCTGTGAAAAATGTGATCTTATAGTATGATACATATTAAATGCATATAAATTCGTCTTATAGTATGACCTAAAAAACTTTTCTTTGAAAAATGTTTAAGTCTATTAACATTAAAACTGATACCCTAAGGAATTCAAGATTATTTTTTGATTTAACAATGGATCACTTAGGGTATTAGATTTAATGTTAACATCTTTTATTTTATCAATTGTCAAAATACACCTGTATCTAATTTAGATTAATTAATGATGATTAAGCAATCAATATGCGATCCCTCTAGATCAATATTTTTATTACTTAACGACAATACATACACTTGCAAATTTTGCATATCAAGTTACTTGAGTTTTTTTGGGAGTAGGTTCTTTGAAGGATTCACTCTTAGAGTTTTTTGGGCTCAAATCATCACCCTCAAAAGAAGAAATTTGAGGTTTTTCTATATTTTGAAATAATAAAGAAAATGGTTAAAGTAAGGGAATGAAAAAAATAAAGTAAATTGAATAATTATAAAATAAAATTACATTCATCGAAGATTTCAGAGTATTCCTTATTAATCTTGGTGAATAAATCCTCATTTGTTGACATAAAATCTTTATGAAAAGATTTGGTGTCAGAAGCATTTAATATGGAGATTTTACTATAAAAAAATGTGTAGGAGAAGTTAGGGTAAGATTGAAAAAATATAAAATGACAGAAGAAATTGTTATAAAAAATACTTGTTCTCATGAAAATTGAGATAAATAATTTTTAGAAAGCATATGTTATTCGCAAATTTTTTACCTACTCACTAAAAAAAAAATTGAAGGAAGGTTACTCAAAAAGCTAAAAGGGAAGGTTCAAGAATCTAGGGTGGTAAAAGATAAAATTTTTTATTATATTAAAAATTTGGTAGTTAGGGCAATTATTTTCGATGTTTAGGAGTTATTAAGATTGTTGTGTATGATGTATGTTGAATAGTTGCTGTAATATTTTTCTTTCAATACTCGTATTGAGGTCTTGAATTGATTAAGGGTTAGAAAGTCTTCACATAAACTTATTATGTGCATCATTGAACCAATTCTCACGGCTTCCAGTTTTAAGGAATATTTGTATGTATTTTTGTACCACTTTTCTTTTTCTTTTAGTAAATAAAAAATAGAGAAAAATCATTTAAGCAATTGTAAAAAATATAAAAATAAAAATTGATACAGAATATGTTGATCCAAGTGGGGGTTGGGCCGAGCCTAGTTCCAGATTCAAAATTGAAAGTGAGCGTAATCAAAGGGCGGAGAGCCGAGGTGCATTAGCGTTAGGTTAACGCTTTCATTCAAAACGCCGAGCTTCACACCCTTCCAAGTTCCAATATAAACCCTCGCTTGCTTCTGTACTCTCTCCTACACTCGTACTCCTTCTCTCAGATCATTTGCTATTCTCTTCAAACCAACGCAGCATCGCTATACTCTCCATTTCATGGTAATGGTACGCTCCTTTCAATTTCACACTTGCTTTTCATTTCTATTTAGGCGTTCGATTCGATTTACTAATTATCTTTTGCGTCTTAGGCTTTGCCCAATCAGCAAACCGTGGATTACCCCAGTTTCAAACTCGTAATCGTCGGTGATGGTGGCACAGGTCATCTTTTCTTCTTTTTGAATTTTTCATCAATGGTTATGTCAATTGCGTGACGATCTAGGTTATACCAAGGCATATGAGCTTTATTATTGTATTAAACATTCTCAGGAAAGACAACTTTTGTGAAGAGGCATCTCACTGGGGAATTCGAAAAGAAATATGAACGTAAGATTCTTTTTTAATTAAGGATATGATTGTGTGTCTAAATGCTCATCTTGTTGCACCTATGAATTTTTTTTCTTCTCGATACTGCTTGTCCAAAACAGCAACCATCGGCGTGGAAGTTCACCCATTGGACTTTTTCCCAAACTGTGGAAAGATTCGATTCTACTGCTGGGATTCTGCTGGACAGGAGAAGTTTGGTGGCCTCAGAGATGGATATTAGTAAGTCATTTGGTCTCAGTTTTTTGCTTAAGAGACTGCGTTTGTTATGAACACACTTAACACGGGTTTCAATCTCAACTATTGTTGCACGGTATTAAGATGTATAATTCGTTACTTGTAAACAAAAATTATAGCCGTTTGATTCCTTGGGTTTTATTTGCATCAGAGTTGGTTTGTTAGATAACTAGACATTCTAGAATTTCATGACTGCTATGAATTATTTTCTTTGTTCCACCAGAAATTCTGCCCGAGTAACTTTCAACTTTCCTTATGTCTCCAGTCTGATCTTTATCTAATTATAGTAATATTGTGTTATATATTGCAGTATCCATGGGCAATGTGCAATTATCATGTTTGATGTTACTGCTCGTCTAACGTACAAAAATGTCCCAACGTGGCATCGTGATCTCTGTCGGTTCGTACATGAACTCCTTGTAGCATTTTTTGTTATTGTCTCCCATTATTTGGCTGTATGTTGTTTATATTGACATCATGGGTAATATCTGCCCAACGGATTTTTTCAGGGTCTGTGAGAATATCCCGATTGTTCTCTGCGGTAACAAGGTTGATGTCAAGAACAGGCAAGTGAAGGCAAAGCAGGTTACTTTCCACAGGAAGAAGAATTTGCAGTACTATGAGATATCTGCTAAGAGCAACTACAACTTTGAAAAGCCTTTCCTGTATTTGGCCAGGAAACTTGCAGGGTAGCGCCACTAGTTTCTACTGCATAATTTATGCACAAGTCAGAACACATCAAACTTCTAAAAAGGACATTAACTTATTATTCTACTTGTGTCAATTTTGCAGCGATCCTAACTTGCACTTTGTAGAATCTCCTGCATTGGCTCCACCTGAAGTTCAAATTGATTTAGCTGCCCAACAACAGTAAGCTATCTTTTGAGAACTATATTGTTTTCTCCAATTCCATCAACCTTGTGCTTGATCTATGGCTGGCATGATAGGGAAAAACAGATTGTACTTTTGCAAAATTGTATTTGGAATTAAAAAATGCTTCTAAAAGTGAATTGTGACAATCCCTAATCATAGGGAGGTGAAGTAAATGGGAAGGAGATAAGTGATTTGGGGTGTAAGGAGAGGGAAGACCTTGTTTTTAATTAAGCATGTAGAATGAGAACTATTTCCCATACTCATTCTCACTACTTGGCAGTCTGTCAACTTAAACATCCAAACAAAGTGAATTAATTGACCCTCCATCCATCCCATTCATGTATATTGAAAAAAGCCCACACAACACAATGGGTGTTTCATGAAGGTCTTGAAGTCTTCTTGTTCTCATTTGATTGAAATTGTTCATTTTAGATTTCGTATATTTATGTGTTGGTGGTTTTTGCAGGCATGAAGCTGAGCTTGCTGCAGCTGCTAGTCAGCCCCTTCCTGACGATGATGATGACACTTTTGAGTAGAGGACTTGTGTGTTTGTGAACTGTCCTCTTGAGTGCTGGTATTTGTACGCTACTGTATGTGCTTTTTGGGGGTTGTATTGACATTTTTGGATGTGAATTCTATGATCTGAATTCAATCATTAATATATTTTATTTACATAAATTGAAATCTCCCTTAACTATAGATATCACCAGGGGCTTTAAATTATGCATTCCGCGAGTCTGATCTGTCTTGAAAAGACGAGGAATGGTTGTAAATGGTAAGTATCCCGCGATTCGTATCTTACTCTTACGGTACCATAAGAATCATGTGTATTGTGGCTTGAATTGAAAAAATTGCGATTATGAAAGAACTCGCACGATTAGGAAACAGCAGGTGGCATGTGACTTGACCCAGTCCAGGGTCATGTGCAACCTGATTTTGAAAACCTTTAAAATAGTTTTTTTTCGAAAAGCAAGTGGAAAAGAGAGCGGGAGTGTCTATCTATTCCCTCCAAATAGAATTTACGTGATACTCCTGATGGGTTTCACTTTTTGTGGTTCATTTTGACATTCACTGTTTTCTACTGTTATGCAGCAACCACATTAATATTTTTTTTAGGTGGTTATCTTGCTGAATTAGAGCAGCAAACAGCCACTGTTATATGCACTTATGCAGCAACAACAATGGTTTTTTTTTTTTTTTTTTTTTGAGGTTTTGTTGTTAAAGTGTGCATCCATTTCTTTTGGCCATGTAGCTGTTATTATTTGCATCTTTATTTGTATTAAGACTTATATGCTATTATATATTTATGTCAAAAAATAGGTCTTCCGATATATTATTTGGTTCAACTGTCATGGTTTTAACATATTTTTGGTCTTTTAATATACGGGCGTTACGGAGGGGGGATTACTGACTGCTGAAAGTTAGGTTGTGTTGAGTTCGATCCTATTCATACCGGATATCCCCCGGCAGAAAACCAAATCGTTGGTTTTTATTAGGGATGACAATGGCCCCATGGGAACGGGTAATAATAAACCTGTCCCTGTTCTATTAGATAAAAATTGGCTCCATACTTACGCTATATCCGTGCGGGTATTCATTAAACGGATATCCATGAATTTTTTAAATACTCACGGGTATCCATTGATATTCATGGATATTTATAATTTTTTTAAGAAATTAAAAAAATTATATTATAAATAATTTTAAGTTTATATTTAATATCATTGAAATATTAAAAATAAAAATTCAATGTTAATTTTGAACTTGTATTTAACGTTAATTTTGTTCAAATAATAATAAAAATGTAAGATAATACTCTCTCCGTTTTTTTTTCATAGTCGTTTTGTCAGAGTTTGTTGTTTTTTTTTCATTGTCATATTACTAAAATCAATGAGTTATTAATTTTTTTCTTCCATTTTTACTCTTGATAATTAATACATGTTTCCTGAACAATGTGTGTATTTATTTTTAATGTCTACCTAATTTTTCTCCAACTACTCATATAAAGTTAATGTACATTTATAAGAGCAATATGTTTCCAACAAAATACTATAAAAAAATAAAAAAAAGGGACAACTATTTAATGGAGTAGTTCAACAGTCTAAAAAATGCAAAAAAAAAAAATGAAGGGTAAAATAGGAAAGTAAGTAATAAATATTTTTGAAAACTAAAATATCAATGATTTCCTTAAATTTCGTGCAAAACCTTAAACGACTATGAAAAAAAAAAACAGAGGGAGTAACTTAAAATACATCAATCTTACAAGTAAATTAAAATCTCATCACAAAGTTACAATAATTCAATTTCATAATTTCAAACGAAAGTAAATAACTTAAAATACATAAATTTTATTGGTCCAATAATCAAAGCTAGAAAATTAATTAAATTATATTCAACATAATTCTATAACATGCTTAACATATGTTGGTAATTTCATCAATCTAACTTTTGTAAGAAAATAAGATGAGAGTGTAATTTTAGGGTTATGTGGTATAAAAATAATTAGGATATTTAAGAAATATTAAATGGCTATCCGCTGGTATAGATATCATCATATCCGACCCCGTCCCATTTATAAACGGGTAAAAAATTATCTGTTCCCACTATCTACAGATACTCAATTAATCTATCTATTTATTATCTGTAACAGATTTTATCTGCATATACTTGCGGGTGCGGGTGTTTTTATCATTCATAGTTTCTATTGTTCTTCTATTTAAACTAACAGGTATAAAGAAATCATTTTATATTATTAGGTATCAGTGTCATAAATCACTTAATATAATAGTGGTGTAATTCGGTATTAGATCTAGATATTGTATATAAAAATAATGGTAAAGTAATTCTAAGCAATGTTAAGTGTACGTAACCTAGTTTCTGACGGTTTAAGTGGCCAAAATCTAGTTTCTGTTGTGATTGGATAATTTCTAGACTGGAGATAACCGTGCTGTGCTGTATTTAAGCGATGGGGATTAAAGGACATTATGATTTATTTAGGAAATATGAATTAATCCGCGTTATACGTAAGTTATGATTAATTCATATGTTCGAATTGTAATATTGTGCATGTCAATCCTTCTTTCTTCGATGTTGCAGACATTCAATTCATATAGAAAGATTACAATATAATAGTTTTATAGTATAAGAAATAAGGTGATATTTTACGTTATTACATGTCATCTGCAACTTATAGAAAAAAAAGGTAAAATAATGTTTTTAGTGTTTTTAAAATTTAAGAATTAAAAATTGATTTTAATTAAAAAAAAAGTTTACAATAATGCTAATATTACTTTATCATACATTTGAGGCTTAATATTTTGCACATATATATAAAAGAGAAAATACAACGTACAAACATTTATAACTAACACATGTTTAAAGCTGTTAAAACGGGTTAGTTTGACTCATTTGGCTTACCCACCTCAACCTACTTTTTAAATGGGTTGACCAGATCCGACCCACCAATATTAATGTGTAAAATTTTTTAACTCAGCCCGGCCCATCACAAATTGATGGGTTAAACGAGTCGGCCCATCAATCCACCTGATTTAAAAAAAAAATTTAAAATAAACTCCAATATAAAATAATCTCTAATCTAAAATAAAAATTGCTAAACTAAGTATCATGCATACAACATTAAACTTAAATTAAAAAGTACAATTTTAAACAATTAAAACAAAAAAATAAAAATCCTTTCATGAAAGTGATTATTCATTAATATTAAACTTCATTGGAAACTTAAGTAGATAAATTTATAGTAATTTTATGTTGTTTAACATCAACTTTATCTTTATCTACAAAAAATAGTATCTTATTAAAATAATACATATATAATAATAAATGTGTTAAGTGGGTTGTTAGTTGGATGGGTTGATGGGAGTGCAATTGGATTGATGGTAGCCCGACCCATTGTGGTGGGCCGAGTCGAAAGTAGGCCAAGATACATTTTTAACCCATTATGAAAATCTTCCTTTTTTTTTGGCCCGGCTCGGCCCGTTTATAAGGTGAGCCAGAACCCATTTGGATAGCTCTACACATGTTATCAAAATATTTATCATCGACTGTATTTGAATGTTTATAAGGTTTGTTGTAAGCGACCATGAAGATGTTCAAATAAACGTTGGACTTGTGTACACTATAAGCTGTAAACATTAGTCTAACATGTTGGATGTTGGACATATAGACCCCGACTAGAAGATAAACCTTAGTGTTACACTTGTTAATTTTTACATGCTTGATAGAAGATAAGTTATTTAAAAAAATATTTTTGTCTTATTTACTTTGGGCACATGTTTCTTATAATGACTTAGATAAATTATTAGTCCATTAAAATCATGACTTTGCTATCATTAAAACTAAAGTTACATAGATTTTCATTTGTCTTTGCCTCAACAATCTTCTCCCTTTTTGATGATGACAAATTTGTAATTTGATTTAACTTTGAGAAACGAAACATGTTATTGATGGATCATATTTGATACATCATTTTTTATGAATCAGATTGGGTTCATGACCTTTATAAGTGTTTTAAATTGGTAATTTAGTTGTGATTCACATTATTGGACTTTATTGATTTTAATTATAAATTCTAATTAATTTTTGTAATTTTTTGTATTTATTTTTATTTTTGTTTTTTCTTGTTGTATCTATTTCTATTTTGTATTTTTGTATTCTATATTTTATTTCCATTTTCTCTATCTATATCTATTTTATGTTTTTGTATGTTGTTTTGTTTCTATATGTTGTATTTATTTCTATTTTTTGTTTTTGTATGCCGTGTTTGTTGTTGTTTTTTTTTTTTTGTATTCTTTTATATGTTATGTTTTCTATTTTTTACTATTTCTATATTTTTTTGCTTTACTGCATGTATAAAAAAAATGTTTTCAATTCTATATAATAATAAAAAGTCATACTTTATTTAAAAAAATTCTAAATATATGAATTGTGAAACCTGCATCATTTTTTGTTAAGCATAAATTGATATCGATTCTTTTTGCATTTTTAGTATAGTGAGTTGACTTGGAAAAATTAAATATGATTCATTAGTGATAAAATAATTACATTGTGAGATTTTGAGCCTTATTTGATAGATGGATTACATTACACCATGCAAAATTTCTTCTTTGTTGTATGATTGTACTCATGATGCTAGTTACTCTAGGTTTTGTTTCAACTCTTTCTTATGTCTCTTGTTTTACATGTGTTATTGAAATGATTTATGCCTTTTCTTTCTTTATAAGCTACTAGCCAAATTTATTTACCTTGTGCTTATCCCTTTGTTATTCCCTTTGAATCTATCTAACCCTTCCTTTGATTTTGTAACTCATTACAAGCCTTAAAGTGAAAAATCATGAAGCATCCTAACTTTAGGGATTATAGGATTTTTGAAATTACTTTTGAGAATGGGTTCTAAATAAGTGTGTGGGTATAACCCCAATCTTTTGTAAATATTTTGATGCTTGTTGAGTTGTTTGGCATTAGCTTGAAAAGAAAATAAAAAAGAAAGAAAGAAAAGAAACAAAGAAAGAAAAGA